CATCCCGCCTGCCCTCCATCCCTCCATCCCGGCTGGGGGGGGACTGAGCCTGGGCCCGGAGCGGGGGAGCGAGGTGCTGAGAGACACTTGGAGGGGGTTGCGGGGATCATGCCGGGGGGGCTGAGCCTCGGCATCGCTTTCTCCTCGCCCTCCATGGAGCCCGGACCTTTTCTACAATGACTTTCCCTGAGCTGAGCAATGGCAGCTTGAGTGGGAACCGGACGGGACAGGGCAGCCAGAGTGGTGCCAACCGGTCCTGGGGGCTGCAAGGTGAGGAGACCCCCGAGGGCAACGGCACCACGCTGACTTTTGCCTTGGACGTGCAGGCGGTGGGCGTCGGGGTCTTCCTGGCCGTCTTCATCCTCTCAGCCATCGTGGGGAACATCCTCGTCATCCTTTCGGTGGCTTGCAACCGGCATCTGCAGACAGTCACCAACTACTTCATCGTCAACTTGGCCATCGCCGACCTGCTGCTCAGCACCACCGTGCTGCCCTTCTCGGCCACCTTGGAGGTGCTGGGCTTCTGGGTGTTTGGGCGCATCTTCTGCAACATCTGGGCAGCCGTGGACGTGCTGTGCTGCTCCGCCTCCATCATGAGCCTGTGTATCATCTCCGTGGACAGGTACATTGGCGTCAAGTACTCTCTCAAGTACCCCACAATCATGACCGAGAGGAAGGCAGGGGTCATCCTCGTGGTGGTCTGGCTCTCATCCATGGTCATCTCTATTGGGCCACTGCTGGGATGGAAGGAGCCGCCACCGCCAGATGAGAGCATCTGTAGCATCACAGAGGAGCCGGGCTATGCCCTGTTCTCCTCCCTCTTCTCCTTCTACCTGCCCCTCATGGTCATCCTGGTGATGTACTTCAGGATCTACGTGGTGGCCAGGCGGACCACCCGGAGCTTGGAGGCAGGGGTCAAGAAGGAGAGGAATAAATCCATGGAAGTGGTACTGCGCATCCACTGCCGCAGTGTGCTGGAGGAGCCTCTCTCCAGTACTCGGAGCAAGGGACACAACTTCAGGAGCTCCCTCTCCGTGCGGCTCCTCAAGTTCTCCCGTGAGAAAAAAGCAGCCAAGACCCTTGCCATCGTCGTGGGTGTTTTCATTCTCTGCTGGTTCCCCTTCTTCTTCGTCCTGCCTTTTGGTAAGTGACCCCGTCCCCCATCCCAGCCCCGCTGACCGTGGCTGAACCCCTGGGGACCTGCTTCTTGGGACAAACTTTCAGGACACAACTCATGCATGGAGGTGAGGGATAGGTAACTGATAGGTGAATAAACCAGCAATGAATTAATTCAATTAGTTAACACTTATTCAATATGTATTAATCAGAATCATATAATCAAAGTAAATAGCAAATTAATAAAATAACGGCATAATAATTGGTTTAATTAATTCATTCTGCATTCAGCACTTTCATTAATGAAGTTCAGGCTGAGGAGGAAGCAGTTCTGTTTCAAACAGGCTGTAATTATGGCACAGTGGTTGCCAAACAGCTTTGCTGTCCCTGTCCCCAGCCTCCCTTCCTCCCAGTTTGGGGGAAGGCACCCGGTTCTGCCTCTGTGTGCTCAGGGCTCCCGCCCCTGCCATCATCATCAACTGATGATGATGATGCAGATGAGTGAGGTTTGATCCCTCCAAGGAGCATGTCAGAGCCTGAAACATAAGTTCCACCAACTCCCTGGGACGACAATGTTGTGCAGGGACCTGGAGCAGGACCAGGTCTTACCTCCAAGGGTGATGGTCCTGGGTGATTTCCCAGGACTGATTCACCTCTCGCAGGAGTCAGGCCCTCAGCTCCTGGCCCTGCCGTGCTGCCTGTGTCATGGGGAGTTCATTTGGGGTTGTCTGATGGGTTGTGCTCCAAAGTTTTGGCAAGTTGTTTGCTCGGGTGAAAAGGGTGCAGCCCCCTGCGTGCAGAGGAGGCTGACTGGGCACAGAGCCCACCAGGCAGGGGGCCATGTGTTGTCCAAGGCAACATCCCCCTCCAGCACCAGTGCTACCCGTGACCCATAAAGTGCAGGAAAGACAGAGCTCTTCATCTCCATCTCATCTAACGGCAGGCATCCAGTTCAGGGGACTAGATTAACCCTCTGGAACGGTGTAGCTAAACCTAGGGGTAAAAAAAAGACTAAAATAACTTCTGATTATTGATGATGGCTGTTGCGCAGAGCTCAGCAAAGCAGAGATGTCTGTCACTCCATCTGCTCGGTGGCACCTGCGTATCCCACAGCCCACCAGGGACTTGTGTCCAAGTAACCCTACAGCCGGGGAAACATTATAGCTAGTTCTGCACTTTTTCTCAGGATTTTTCAAATCCTCTTGCTCGAAACTGCCTCTCAAGTCAATGGAAACAGAGCATCGTGACCACAGGGCTCATTTTGACCTGCTGAGGTTTTGATCTCCCTCCAGCATGGTGGCTGGCCCCCTGGGGACAGCTGGAGCCCAAGGCTGTTAGACACCTAATTGGGGCCACTCAATCCCCACCTACCCTCCAGTGGGATAATCCACCAGGACCAATGGTGCCTTAGGAGCTGAGGTGTCCCTAGGGTGGTGGATCAGGGTTGTGGGTGTCCGGTCTCACCATGCTGCTGTCTTGTACCCCTTTGCTTCAGTTTCTCTCACTGGGTGAGGGTGGTATTTGGTGAGTTTATCTCAGCTCTCCATAAGGGTGAAATTACTGCTGTGAAGAGTTTCACCCTATGTAAGCATGGGAGTTCGTGGTATGACTCAGGCAGGGAGCAGTAAGGCTGCAGTGAACTTCTCTCACTACAAGACCTAAGATAAATTATCCCGTCTGACCGTGCCTCAGTTTCCCTTTAAGTGATCAGGTGCATTGGGGGATTTTTGTAGCCTGCAAATAAACGGTTTGGGAATTGTAGGGCTCAGGGAGATGCCAGTACCCGAAGTCTGAGCTCTCTGGGCAGCCCCAGTCTGATACTCATCCCCTTGGCCGATCAGCAGGGCAGGACCCAGCTCCGAACCTCATTCACACCTTTACACCTTACAGCTAATAAAGCTGGGAATCGGGATCCTGTTCCTGTGAGTTATTCCCAGTACTTGGAAATAGAGAACAAACACCAGGCAAATACTTCTCAGTAGAAAAACATGTTTTATTTTGTTTTACCATATCTGTTCTCCCTTGAAACCCTTGAACCAGCTTCTCCACTGATGTAAATCACTACCCTTGCACTGAAGTCAAAGGACATACGCTGATTTACGCCAGCTAAAAATCCAAACTTCATTCTTCAAGTACCTCCCGTGAACCCATTTGCTTCCTCCAAGCACACAACTTGCCAAGTTCTTCATAAACATGGCTTTGATCTTTACTTCCTGCTGTATTATACGTATAATATAAACACAGCAAAAGTTCATTTATTTTATGACTACAAAATATGCTGCCTTTGATTTCACCCCCCTTTAATTGATTGCAATTTCCTATTCAAATCTGAGAATCATTCAATGTTATCTAGAAGGAGAACAGAAACTTCTGCGAGGTCTAATCTCTGATTTTACAGCTCAGAAGGCAGGTCTGAAACTCAGAGAAATCAGCAAAGTTCACTGTAAAGCCACGAACTGAAACATGCTGGGGCCCATTCTTCTTGAAAAGAAGATTGTAAATGGTTAAGTAGAATGGCTTTTTTATTTGCTTGTTAGACAAACTTACGTGAAATAATTTGGGGCCAACTGGAAATTATACTGACACACATTTTAAATGAAAATGAAACACTGGTGAGAAAAAAATATCACTTTCACTTTGAAGTGAAATGTATTGTTTCAATTTAAGAAAAGAGTGAATGGAAGTTTATTAAAAAATGAGTACTCAGATACATTTCAAAATGAACAGTCACATTAAAATGAAATGAATAAGTGATCTATTTTCTCCTGAAAATATCGAAAGGTTTTGACATGAATTTGCAAGAAGTTGTCATTGACTTACACTGTTGACTGACTGTTGTCTGATTATACATTTTAGGGATAAGTAAATTTGTCAAGTGAAAAAAACCTCCCAGCTATACTTAGCAATCAGAAACTTCTGTACTGGCTCTGTCACCGGTGTCTGTGTCTGCACGCATCTTTGCAACTCTCTGCAGAATAGTTTCCACGTTAGTTACACAGGAATAATATTTATCACATCAGTGTTGAGAGGTGGAAATAGCCAATAATTTTAAATAACAGGACCTATGTATGTGCCAAATGTTGTCAGCCATTTTTCCATCCTTGAATAATCTACAAAGATTCTTCTTTAAATCAGCTCAAACTCCTCAATACCTCTACAGTCTATTTATCAGCTGAGTCATTTAGCTCACTCTTGAGTTTGTGATACATGTCCTGAAGCACAAGATGCTGTCACCAGGAGTTTTAACACAATTAACAGTTTCTGTAGCTAATAAGACTCTTTAAGCAGCTGGTTGTTCAACAAGAGGTGAAATCGTAATTACCCACATAATTCTTGTATGGGTTGTATCTTTTGTTGGGTGTGCAGTAGAGCTCTACCAAGCTGCTTTGTCTGGGGATCCTGGGTGGTGGTTTTGTGGTTTATGCCAGGGTGCCTCTTCCCTTAGCAAAGACCTGTCAAGAGAACATAACTGGAGGCTTCTCAGAGATCTGGGCCAGGAGTTTAAGGGTGTTTTGTAGGATAGGATTCGTCTCCCTTTGGTTGTCTCAGACATCTGTGCCTTCATCTCAGCTAGTCATAGCATCATGGAGATGCTAGTTGGGAGGGACCTCTGAAGGTCCAGCTCCCTCTCTGAGCAACACCGGCACCAGATCAATCAGTCATATTCACCCAAAGCTCCTTTATCTTTCCGAGGAGAGTGTCTTGAAGGTGTGACTCCTTGGGATGAGATGAATTGTGGTGTCAATCTGCCTCTTCCTCTCCCTTGACTACAAAAGCAGCCAGGGGCAACTAACCAGCTGATGGTGTCTGCACAGCAGGGATTTGCAGAGAGGTGGGATGTATCCTAGTCTGAGGTTTTTTAAGTCTAATGGAAGCAAGATGCCCAGGGGAGAGAAAGCTCAATCCTGTGTCACCTCAAGCCTCTATTAGAGAGAGAGGATAGACAGAGAAACTCTCTCTTAAGTCACACAACCATAGAGGCTTCACTGGCTCTTCTGCTAATGGAAAACCCTGCTAAAAGTTAGGTGCTGGATTTGTCCTTGCAGTAGGGCATCTATGCAATGGGCCAAGGAACCAGAACCCCCTATACAACACCTATAGATAGATAGTCCGTAGATAGGTAGATCTCAGACCTGATCCAGGAGGAAGTAAGTAAGAATAGGAGGAGGAGGGATGGAGCCCTGTTCCCCATCCACTCTTCAGTGGCTGGGGACCATGCAAAGACAACGTGGGACCCCAAATGGGACCATCTCAGGAGTGGAGGCAAAGACCTTTTCCATCATCACCCCAGAAGCATCTAAGAGGAAACAATCATCCCTTGGGATCAAGGATGCACTAGGCAGTACCCAGGATGGCGATTTACACACTTCAATGGCCCTTGTTTTTTAAGAAGCATAGTCTAGTCTAGGTGGTGGTCTCCCATGTTTTTTATTCTTTGGATTTGGGTAGAAATCAAGAGCAGTGTGATAAAGGCACAGCAGCACCCTTAGCTAGTGCCACACAAGGGTGAAGGCAACAACCCAAGTCTTCCTTCCCTCCACAAGCAGCAGGTTACCCAGACAAGGAATGACTTAAGAGATCCCTCAGTATGAGCAAAACCCTCCGTATTCATGGTCTTATGTTTGCCTTGGGGTGGTGACTTGCCCGTGTTTGCAGTGGAAGCTAGTACTCATTTCCAGCTATGATTCAGAAAAACAGTGTACTGGCTTTTTTACCTGCATCCTGAAAGAAAGGCAGCTGCTACACAAAACAGGCTCAGAAAGGTCTCCTTCAAGTCAAAACAAAAATATTTTTGTAGATGCTGTTTTTCACAGGGCTAAAGTCCTTTCACAAAACATTTTGGAGAAGATGGGCTCGCAGAGGCATAGCAGTGCTCAGGCTTCGGTAACTGTCATTTGTAAAATAAATGATGGGGAAGACAATGTAGGTAGAAGCACATTTCAAATGAGACCAGGTCTGTTCTGGTAGAAGTGGAGAATCTAATTCTGTTCTGGTAGAAGAGCTTTTGCCATGGCTTCCTAAGAGAA